TTTAAGCCGGCGTTGGCCAGTTCTTGCCTCACGACGGTCTGTATGAGAGAGACGGTGGCGTGATAGCTTTCGGAGTTGGGGGAAGCTGACACGAGTGGAGCTGCGGCTTCTATTTCCCGACGGACAATACGGACAACGTCACCGGGACTTTCCGTAGAAGGCAGGCGAGGGTCTTCGCATGTGGACGTTGCAGCCGTGTTTGGAAGCCGGGCAAACTGGTGGAGAACACGGCGGCTCTTCGCTTCTTCAAAGCGCCGGCATTCAGAAATAATGTCGTGGACCGTAGATGAATTCTTGAACACAAGAAGGTGAAAGGCGTCATCTGCTATGCCCTTAATAATATGGCCAACCTTATCGGCTTCGGACATCTGCGAGTCTACCTTGCGGCACAAAGCGAGCACGTCCTGAATGTACGTGAGGTATGATTCGGTGCACGTCTGAACTCGACGTGCGAGCTCGTTTTGGGCGGCGCGTTGACTTCCCACAGGCCTGCCAAATAGCTCCCGGAGCTTTTGCTTGCATAACTCCCAGCTAGTCAGTTCTTCCTCGTGCGTCTCGTACCAGACCTTTGCGGTACCTCTGAGATAAAAAATCACGTTGGCCAGCATGAGCGTTGGATCCCATCGCATACGTACACCCACTCGTTCGTATGACTTCAGCCAGGCTTCTACGTCAATGCCACCAGTGCCAGAAAAGGTACCTGGATCTCTCGGGGGCTCCAAGATGAGGGTTGACGGTCCAGTTGGAGAAAGCACGGACGTAGTTGGAGAAGGCACGGTAGACGGGGAAGGGTCGGCATTGTTGACTGCAGTCGCCATGGGGGAGACCACTAGGCGCCCGCTACGAAGCTCCGTTTTGCGTGAAGTGAGTACCCCGCACCTCCCACCAATGATGTTACGGGAGAATAACTTTACTTTATAAAACGAGGAATAAACTCGGTGGTGGACAAGATGGCGCCCAGTTGGCTCACAGATCTGACAACATCGTCCTCCTCTTTGTCTTCTTCGTCGTTCTCATCCTACCGTTACAATATTAAATAGGAGGGGAGAGAGGACCGCGCCTTGAGGAGTTCCCCTCGAGCCGATGACGTAAGGCCCATGTTCCTCATCTTGTATGCGTATGTAGGCTTGACGGTCTGTAAGAAACTGTCTAACATAATTGAATGTTTTATAACCACAGTTGGTCTGACTGAGGTGGTCAAGAATTACCTCATGCTTCACGTTGTCGAATGCCCCTTTAAGATCCAAGGCCAGGACTACCTTGTCATTGTGGGGGCATTCAACAGGATCTAATATGTCATGGTGGAGCTGTAGAAGTATATCCTGGGCTGACTTCTGAGGGCGGAATCCAAACATGGTGTCCGCAAAAGTGTGCTGTGTTTCTAGAAACTCGGAGAGTCTGTCGCGCACCATCGTTTCCATCAGCTTGCCGACACAAGACGTGAGGGAGATGGGGCGAAGGTTCTCCACGTTAATAGGTTTACCTGCCTTCGAGATGAAGGTCACGAGAGCTGATTTCCATTCAAGAGGAAGAGGAGTTTCTCTGTCCCAAATGCTATTGATGTATTTGAGGAGCGTGGCGTAGGCTGCGTCGGGAAGATTGGCCAACAGTTTGACCGTAACCTGGTCACGCCCTGGTCCAGTGCCACGCTTCATCTTGCGTAAGGCCGCCTGGAGGTCGTGGAGCTGGAACGGGGTGTCCAACTGCGTGTTCTTTTTGCCTGCGTAGGAGTATGCGGCCGTCCGGGGGTCCTTGGTGGTGCACAGGTATCGGTCCCTGAGCGTGTTTGCCAGCTGTGTTGCCGTTCCTGTAAAGTTGTGCATGACCTTATGTAACTGACGTTGAGTTTCCGTGCGTGTTTGTGTTGGATCGATGAGAGCGCGAAACAGGTGCCACGTGTTGCGACCAGACATCTGGCGTGCAGCGGTGTTGCACCTGTCCACCCAGTTAGTGTCGGCTAGCTGAGCAGCATATTCCGCAGCTTGCTCCGTGAGTTCTAGGATGCGTTTCTTGAGGCGTCTGTTATGTTTCTGTTTTTTCCATCGTTTGGTGAGGCTACGGCGGGCCTGCCAAAGATGGAGGAGGTGGTTGTCCACGTCCGTTTGAGTTTCCGTGAGCTGTATCAGCTGTTCGTGTTGTTTCAGTGTAGACGTCAGTGATTTAGACCAGGTGTCGTATCCCGACTGGAGAGGGTCTACAATAGGTAGAGTGGTGCGGAAAGTTGTCCAGTCTGGGATATGAGCTTGTGTAAGTGGGCGTTTTAAGGGACGCATGTACACGGTTGTGTTTAATACACAGTGATCACTACCGAGAGTGTCCTGTGTGTTCAGCCAGTCGGCATGGCGTACGTTGCGTGTAATTGTGAGGTCCGGGCAAGTATCTCGTTGAACAGAGTTGCCTACACGTGTTGGGCTGGAGGGATCAGTGTGGAGGGTGAGTCCAAGTGTAGAAAGAAGCTCCGCAAGCTTCCTTCCACGCGTGTCCTCCCGTGGGTAACCCCATAACCTGCTTGGGGCATTGAAGTCGCCGACGATCAGGAGGGGGTCCCGTCCTGCCACCTGCATAGCCTGTGTGAAAGTTGCGCTGAACGTGACGTTTTTAAGCTTTGGGGGACAGTAAATGTTTAAAATATGAACAGGTGGGTCAGATCGCCTTATAGGCAGCACCGACACCATCGTGTATGGGAAAGGCGGTGTTGTGGGGAGTGTGACTTCCTGGGCGGTATATTGCTTGTGAACAAGTATACATGTCTCCGGGTTGTGTTGAAATGTAGTGTAGTTTGTGAGTTTGACGTCCGTGCCGGGTTCCTGAAGGGCAACCACGGCAACGAGGAACTCAAAGGTCTCAAGATAGAGGCGGAAATGAGCCCGCTTCTTGTGGTTCTTGAGACCTCTGCAGTTCCACTGTGTTAGTAACAACGGCTGAGTTGCTCTGGCTCGCGACCTAGGGTTGGAGGCCATGTTCGGAGATAGAGGGTGGGGTTGTGTTGTTAAGATTACTCAGTTCACTAGCACCCTGTGCTGACGTACTGGAGTCTTTAGAAAAGTCCGACTCATCTGGAGTCACTCTGTTAAACTTTGAGGGGCGATTAACGTCCCTAATTGGCCCTACGCGCTTGAGGACGCGTAGATTGTCTTGTATCTGCTTTTGGATAATGTGAGTTACTGTTTGTGTCACCTGTGCGATGACAGTCTCCATATGGCGCGCGATGGTGTCGTGGATAATTTTGGGGAGGTCGGCCAATTGTGTTTCTATTGCATTCACCTGGGTCTCCAGGGCCGCGACGCGACTCTCTACAGTAGTAGGAATCTCCCTGTCTGTTATATTTTCCTCTTCGTCGCTCAATGAGGGCTTAGTAGTGAGATTGGTTCTGAGCGAGTCAAGTTCGCTGGCTAGTTTTTCATTCTGAGATCGCAAAAGGGCGAGCTCATGTCTGAGTTTTTGTGTTTCGGTAGTGCTTGTGGCAGAAGAAGGTGGAGAGGAGAGAGAGGAGGGAGAGGAGGCGACCTCCACCCAACTGCCAACCTTGGGTTGGTTGCGTGCAGCGTTGCCAGATGGAGCGCCGAAAGCTGGAGATTCCGCCGTGCCAGGTGGTAGCGTTGCCGTTGCTGCTTTGCCAGGAATTGGCGCTTTGCCAGTTGACCGGCGCTTTGGTTTTGTTGGGGTCCACGATGTCCTGGACCCTGGTTGCTGAAGCCTGATGAATTTTTCAGTGCATTCGCGGGAGCTGGTGAGGTGCGGACCCCCGCAAACTATGCACGTTGGGTTGCATTCGTGGGGGGCCATCCCCTCAGGACCAGCGCCCACGTTTTGGCCATAAAGGCTGCATCTTTCGGTGACCGGGTTGGGACAGATATCCGCCCGGTGCCCCAGTGCACCACAGCGGTAGCACGCTGGCACTGTCTTCTTGTACTCCCTGACGGGAGTCAGTTCTGCGTTATAGTGGACGAAACGCGGAACGTTCCTTCCCGCGAAAGTCAACACAGCTACGTTGGAGTTCCCCAGCTTGCGCGCATAGACTAGTTCACCGCCACGCCACTGCACACTATGTTTCAGAGGCGCACTGGTTTCGAGGTTGTGCACAGAAATCACGCCGCGACACACATCACCAGTGAGCTTGAGGTGACCGCGAAGCGGCAGCGGTCCTTTGCTGGTGTTGATTTGAAAGTCCGACAGCAGTTTCTGAACCACCTCGTTATTCTGCGTGCCACAGATGATGATGTTTTGCTCCCAATTGGGAGAAATGGTGATGTCATTCATGTGCTGCCTTCCGATGAGTTGGGAAATGGCAGCGCCGAGCTCACCTTGTTGAAACGCTGCCTTGAGGGCTACTGTGATGCGTGGCTTGAGCACGATCACGTAGTCGCCAGGATTCATCCTGACCGTTGGTTTCGGGGTCCACTTGGAGACTGGTGAAATCTTTTGTGGAGCTTTAGGAGATGGAGCGCGAGCGTCTCCAGTGGCTGAATTGTTGAGAAGAGTTTTCAGTGCAGACGCTCCTTCCGCGTTTCTTCAGCGGCGACGCCGACCCTCGACGAGTTGAAAAATGTCAGCTTGCTCCGCCGAAATGGTGGATGGGCTGTCGTCTGATGGATTTGTCGGGATATACGACCACGACAGAGTCGTAGGGTCGTAGCCACGTTGTTCAGGCAGCGCCATGTTGAGGAGTTGACCGAGCGGCGTCTCCGCATCCAGCAGCGGCGGAGCCGCCGCCGTGAGGCTTAGCTCGTTCGCTACGTTGTGATGCAAAGTTGCTCGAAGTGGCCGAAAATTGGGTGTACCTGGGTAAGATCGGTGTCTCCAGAATCTTGCTGACTTGGCAGATGCAGTCACACAAGTTTTACAGCAGCCACATTGAAAAGAGCACGGTTCCAGCCGAAAATCCACGGAGTCGAGGAGCGTCGCGTCCGATCACTTCGCGAAGCCCCGTGCTCCATAAACTGGTTCCCAACTGGTTAACCGGCTGAGCGCATATTGTCATCCAATTAAGTGAACTGATGCTCAACACAAAGAACCTTTATTAGACAATAATAGTTCGACAAAAATGTCCCACACAGAGCGAGCTTCGTAGTACAACTCCTCATTTCTGTTAGTAAGGGTATTTGTAGTCAAACTGCTGCTCGTTCTGCTGCAGCTTCTGGAAAGGAGGTCGCTGATATATTTTTGCTTTTGCTTTGTTCCGCATTGCGTCAGCAATCATGCAGGCAGGCTGCGTGAAAGAAAAATATGATAAGACAGAGAGAAAAGTTTACTACATGGCTGTAGTAAACAGGTTATCACACTAGTCTAAAAATCTGTAACTGCACACTCTGGCACTTCAACATGAGTAGTTCAAGATTTTCCAGACATGAGCATTAATCCTTAGTGGTCATGCATGCCAACATCAACAGTGCAAGTCGGAGCGCGTCATTTGAGTGTTCCAGATGGACGGACAAGACTTACCATGTACAGCAGCTCCCACACGTCATGCTTGCCACGCCCATGCACCATGCGCGCTGCAGTGCCAACACTAGTTATGGTAACAAAATGTCCAAAAGGTACTAATAATACAACAGTCAAGGTGGTTCAAGAGTAAAATACTTGCCTTCATTGTAAAGAAACAGGGCTGAATCAATGGACCATGCCAACATGATTACTGCAAAGACGCTCGATATAAAATACGCCGGTAAAGCTTGTGACCTGTGTCCGCTGCGGCTGGCTATGACAATGCTGATGGCACTTGCCGCAGTGCATGCACTGTGAGCCCATGCACTTTTATGAAAATATAAATTATACGACTATTGCTTTTGTCAAAAAACAAAATAAAAAATTTGTAATGAGAAATAGTATTTGAAAGTTTATTTCTATTGCACTTTATCACATCAAATGCAATGTTTTTGGAAGGTTTGTTAGAAGTAAACAAACGCTTGTTCAGCCGCTTTCTCACTATGTTCTCGCATGAATAAACTGCGGCGTCTGCTCGCGTCAGAAAGATGTGAAGTGTCAAGAAAAGTTTGATGCAGATAAAGTACTATAGTAAGGTATTTTATGATTTTGGAAAAAAATTTTTCAAAATTTTTACCACCTTACTCATTGCCGGCTTCACGGAACTTGCACGTGGCACTCCGGTTAACCAGTTGAAAAGAACTGGTGTTCAACTGGTCAGCCAGTTGAAATTGACTGGTTTTCACCACGTCAACTAGTTGAACGCTTACAACATGAACTCTTTACAACTAGAATGTTTCCAATAACGGGTCTACTCCAATTGGAAAGTCTTTTCCAATTCGGATGTGCACATCCAATTGGACCAACAAGCATTTCAATTGGGAGACCAATCGGAATTCACTGTTCCAATGGTTTATCAATTGGGATGGGTGCAACTAGTTAGAGTGACAAGCACTTCAATTGGGAGACCTATCGGCAACTGCTGGACCTCTTGGAATGATCAATAGAAACTGCGTGGTCCAATTGGTCCCCCTCATTGAACTTAGAAATGTGGCGGTTTGGGCTAGTTGGTATGACATGACAATAGTTATAGCACGAAAACAGAACGTTGAAAAAGAGACAAGAAAGACACGAGCGCTCGTGTCCTTCTTGTCTTTTTGTCGTCGTTCTGTTCTAGCGCTATAACTATTGTTCACATTGAAGCACCACATCTAAGTTGGTTTCCCATTCATACCATTTAGGACCAATTGCTAGGAACTGGTATGTACGATTGGACCCATTCACTTTTTTTGACTGGGAAGAAATGTGTTTTTCCGACGGTTGCCCTTCTCTTTTTGTCTACATGAAAACAATTTTCATGTCTACACATGATGATAATATGCACGAAATATTGATTCGAGGCACCGATACTTCTGCTCCAGACTACTTTAAGTGCAGTTATTCGAGCTCCAAAACCACTACAAAGCACAATTGTTTCTGCTTCTGCATTTCTGCACAAGCTTTCTTCTTGCTATAAAAATTGGTTTAAATTCTATCTTCTTAAGCATTACAGAACCATTTTGTTGTAGCAAATTTGCTTTCCGCTCAGCTAGAGCTCTTTGAAAAGTCGAAAATATGGAACTGCTATTGTTTCAGGCACAACTCCGGTGTTTGGCATCAGGCAACTAAATGAAAGCATGTGGTGTGCACTCTCAACTACATATCCTAGCCTGGTTTAATTGGACCGTGTCACATTATGGCAATACTTTTCTACATTTGGTGAAGTTGAAGAAATCTTGCAGGCTCTCGTTTTGAATGCAATTAAAAATTTCTGTGTTGCATGTAGGAAGGCAAATTCAAAGGCTCATTTTTCTTCTCCTACACACGACATTATAATGACGACATTTAATTTTGCAGTTTCATGTGATATAAGAGACTTCATGTCCATTGCACGTATTTTGAAAAATTTCACTCAATTTGTGTTGCTGTCAACAGTATTTTAGGTGTAGCGAACGCGAGTAGAAAGACGTGAGACGACAACGAGGCTGACAAGGCCATGCCGATTTCGCTACTTTGTGTTCCAGGCCAGAAGCTGAGCTGCGGCGGCTGCCAGCGTCTGACACGCCTGGCGCGTGAGCTCGTTCTGTCCTTGCACAGCTAGAGCTAGAATCAGCTGCACGAGAGGCGCGGCGGTCAGGATATGATGATGATAATGGCACTACAAGGCTCCCCTCCTAACACTTTGTGCGATTTGAAGGTACATGTGGAAAGAAAGAGAGCAACAAATACTATATACGTGGATGGCAATTCATAAGGTGTCCGTTGGAAAGTCCAGGTCGTCAACGGGAAGGGGCTATCAGCAACCACTGGGTCTCTGGCAAATGACGCTGGGAAAAACGCAGCGGACGAAGCTGAAAGTGCCGGGTCGCGATGGTCATAGACACGTGCGTCTGACGATGACTTGGCAGGATTGTTGGAGAATGCACCCGGCGCAGTTCAAAAAGAGGTGGCTGACAAAGGCACCCACAGGAGAAGCCGTAGGAGGGCGTCGAAAAATCCACACTAGTGACGTGGGCAAAACAGTGCAATTCAATGACACGAAAGCATGACGGTTGAGCGCTGAAGTTAAACAGCTGGGGCAGCGTCTTCGACAGTGCACATGACGCTGACATGACTGTCAACAAGGAGCAGCAGTCCGGTCATGCTGGTGCGGACGTCGGCGGCGATGGAAACACAGACATCAGCATTTCATTTCGGCTCGCCTGATAGCGCAAGTGGTCGAGTCAACGTACGCGCAAGAACTGTGCTTGTAGAAGCACACGATGGTCACAGCGGGCAGGCAGTTGCACGGCGAGCGGTCGATCGAACAATCACACAGATGCAGTAGACACCTGGGCCATGGCATGCCTGAAGTCATGGTACATTCCTGCTGGCTCGTGTCACCCTTCAAGTACTCTGAAGGATGGTCAGTCGGTGCCCTATGACTCGTAGAAGTACCTTCGGTGGTCGGCGCATGAGGGCTCACGTGCAGGTCGCATGGCTGATGGTTGCCTCAGTCGCAGGCACAGTGTGTGTCATGTGCTCTGCCTTAGGCAGACCAGGCACGCCGTACGCAGGTGCATCAGTCATGGTTGCAGCATCCCGCACGTCGGTCGTACCTGGTGAGGGGCATGAGCTTTTGCAGCAGGGTACATCGAAGGCGATGCTAGTGGCTTCTGGCAGGACGCGCATAGCGCTGTCGTGGATAGGTAGTCACCTTCGGACATCGGCGACACCTCCGCGGACGGGCGGGTGAATAGCGGGCGTGATGATGTCTATGATTCTGGCAGGCTGCAAGGCATGCGGCGAGGTCGCTGTTGTGGAGCCTGACCTGCCGGAGTTGTCTTGGGCGGAGGAGGTCGAGGAAGACGTGCGGGTGGCAGGCACGTGCGACGGATCTGCGTTCGCGGGCTCCAAGGGGACGCACCTCTCAGTAGTGAAGTCACTCGAAATGGCAGCGTCGTCTACCTCGTCGTCGTGGTCAGGTGCAAGATTGTATGTTCCTGCGACCGGAGCTGAGGTAGAAGGAGTCGTAGCTGGGGTAGTGAACTCGCGGTCGATGGAGGGTTGCGGGCCGGTTGATAGTGCGCGCTGCGACACAGTGGCAACCCCAAAGTAGCGACCCTGTAGCAGACGAGCAGCGCAGTGCAGTGGGTGTCAAATGGTTGCGGGCTTGTGGTTGATTTTGCAGCAAGATGGCGAAACTCAAGCGGCAGCGCGTCGAGCAAGATGGCGAGCATAAGCGGCTGGTCCGCGATGCCATTCACAGCGAGAATGGTGTCGAGCCGCATGAGCCATGCCTGGGGTAAAGTCGGGTGGAACGGCGGCACTGGCGGGCAGAGTCGAGAGTCGTGGGAACATGGCAGCCGATGGCTTATCGAAGGGTGCGTTCTCCGGGTCACCACTGTAGCAAGCGAAACGAGAGAGAGACGTGAGACGACATCGAAGGCGGCGGATGAGGCCATGCCGATCTCGTCACTTTATTCCAGGCCTGAAACGGAGCTGTGGCGGCTGCTAATGTCTGACATTTTACCCCATAGAGTTGACTGGGGGATAACCACCGCTGTACTCCAGTTGGTAGAGCATTGGGCGTGTTATTCAAAGCTATTATTTGAAATAGGTATTCATTCAAATGAGTAATAATTGAAAATGAGTCAGTGAAGGTCAACCACTTGATAGATCCTCAAAGCATTAGCGTCGAATGCTAAGTTTCAGAAATAGCATATGTATGTGAGGACCTTGGCTACATTAATGTTCTGTTGATTCACAGTGAAGAGCACTCAATGCTTACACTAAATCAATGCATTTGCTCCTTGCCGTTTTAGTGAGCTTTAGAAATGCCCAGATAAATGTGCTGGAGGAACTCCCACAATGCAGGACTGTATAAGAATCAATCGGTCGATCGATCAATGTGGAAGTATCTCTACACTCTATACAGTGAGTGAACTGCTGTGACTGTTGCGATGCAGGTTATGGGACAAGGTGATTGGCGGCTCGACCAGGGTCCTGCCCGACGTGGCGGCGCTCCTGCTGATGTCCTTGCGAGTGGCCCTGCTCAGTGCTACAGTCACGGCCGACGTACTTACGCTGTTGAGCAAGGTGAGACGATTTCTCTCGACAGACACGGTCACAGGTTTCGGGTGTTCAAGCAAGGGTGTCGAAGCAAAATGTTTTTCGCTTCAGCTTTAGTTTTAGTGCACCAAAAACAGTTCTGTGCTGCTCATGTTTCAGAAAGAAAGAAAAGTAACAATAAAAAAGTAGATAACAGCATAATTTTTTTCTCATAAATGAATTATGCATTCTCTAAGCAGGCTAAATGCTTTTGCATCAAGGGATTGAGCATCATTTCAGAAGCAGCATGTTATAGAACGTGGTCTCTGGTATGCAAGAACGCTGTTTTCATGAAACAAACTTCAGCGCCAACGATTCCCTATCCACGCTGGCACTTCAAGGTCCAATTTAAATGTTATAAAAAGCGTCAGTTGCGAACCTGTTTCTTTCCCACATAATTTCAACAGATCTTTACTTTTGAAATTCCTTCCTGAGATATGCACTAATACTGTACCCTGAGATATAAATTAATGCTCACGCTGACCTCAGTTGTTTTGAATTGCTAACATTTTCTTTGAACCAAAAACAGATAAAACAGATATCAGTTTCGCTTCAAAACAAAGTAATTGATAACATTTCAGTTACATTCTCATTCCTGTCACAAATATGTTTTTTTTCTTCTTCTTTGTTCTGACACCCTGGCTCAAGCAGCTGCCTGATGCCATAGTCAATGGCAAAGGAAGATGCCGGCGAAATGCAAGAATAACCATAAAACAAGAAGTGTTTCAGCTCCCGTGCAAGGATCTCGTTACAATGATGCAACGGAAGCAGGGGGCAGTTAAGTACATGGAAATCGCTGGCACAAGCAGCATGCACCAACAGAATGAAGGGTGCCAGAATCACATTTTGGATTAGTAATGACCCGAGATCAAGTCATGAGGTCATATTTCTCTCAGTAGCTAGCAAATCCGCACTGGCCCATTCAATACCGTGTCCCTTCGTTACAGAATCCTTTGAATAAACACCGGAAGACATTTTATCTTTTTCCACATCATCACAACATTGCTTCGGGTGCCATTGAGAATGACCAGTGTCGCCGATGTATGCATTACCGCAGTCTGCACTGGGAATATTGTACGCGACACCAAGAAAGTCGTCTTTTGGAAGCTCGTTTTTAACACTGATGAGAACGTTTTATTTAGTTTTTTTCAGTGACACAAGTGCCACTTTTACATGAAAAGAATGAAGCCTACGTGCTAAGGCCTCACTGATCCCTGGAGCACACGGTGTTGTGGCACATAAACGATGAGCAAACACGGAGTATCCACCAATAGCTGAGCGGGATAGATAGCACTGCGCCGAATTTATGAAAGAAGCCGAGCAGCCGTTGCTTGAAAGCTGAGCATGAAATAATTCCAAGTCTATTTCCAAGTCTTTTGGAGAGGTACATGTTTGTCGTGAACGCTCTGTGAGTGAAGACGACGGAGTGTTTGTGACAGGCAAAGATGAATCAAACTGAAGTTGAGTAGCGCCTTGTGTACCTCAACTTCCAAAACACGCTGAAGCAATGTCCTGTTCCTCCGTCTGGCACCCTGACATCGATGAATTGAAGGCAGCGATCCTTCTTCAACTGTCAAATTTTTGGCTAGTTTAGTTGACTATGAAAATGCATCTAGTTCATCATTCATTATTTTGAAAAACTCCTAAGAAAATACGAGAAGGTGAAGATAGAAACTTGCAATGAGAAATTTGTAAATCAGGTGTGGGTGCTGGAGCAGAATTTTTCGCGAGCGGACACGTTTTTTTCGATGCTGCAACTGATTAACTGAGGGAGGGAGGGAAGTTTGACTGGAGGATGCAAAGTTCAAGGCATCGAAGTTGTGACCAGCTGTGCCACTGCTTTTGGTAATTTCTTTGCCGTGTCCATGTGATGCCCATTTAACCTAATATTTACAAATTGTCCAACCCTGTGTCAAGCTCGCCGAGCTGCTGTCTCTTGGGAGAAAAGCCCCATTTGTGATGAATCACTTTTTAAAGACGATAGTCTTTCTAGAGGACCTTCGATGCCAAAATTTTAGTCTGTCTGTCTTTCTGTCTGTTTGTCCGTGCTAACGATGCTTCAAACAGCACCAAACAATACCTCAGATGGCCAGCCCCATCCGCAGTGCCCACGAATATTGCTCAAGTTTCAGCGTTCACACTTCTGTAATTGTCAATTAAAAAGCAATCATTGCGTATATCTGAGGCACCATAACAACACGTCGATATTTTGTATGTGTGTCTTTATTCTGGAAAAGGCACACTCAAATAATTCGAAGGACTGTAGCATTTATCACGCTGCGGTGATATTGCAACGTGATGCTCAAAAAAAGGCAAATGTTTCCAATGCTTTGCTAAGATGACACAGTGGGGGCATCTGCCCGTCGCTTTGCGTTCTACACCTTAGACGCCTTTGAGACAGGCGGGCATCTTTCTCAGTGGGTGTGCAGGCCTTCCTTCGTTTTTGAAGATAACTGCCAGATGGCGCTCGTGTTTGACGTGCCTCTATGCGCTCGTTCGCCTTCGCTGCGCGCATCGAGACTCTCTAAGCGCTTCCACAATCTAATTCACCAATTTTCTCGCACAGAACATCAAATAAAGGTTTTTTTCATTCTCTTCACATGCAAAACTATCATCTTTCAACGTTTGTAGTGAAACATGCAGATACGGGGCCAATTTTTTTTCTCAGAACAGGCTGCTGTGGGACCCTCCACCTTACAGAGTGATATTAGCGGGAAGGGAGGCCACCAAATTTGCGTCAGGCCTTGGGTTATTCGCGGTTCGGCATGTTATTTTCTGTTCATCCTGACCAGGAAAATGAAATTACATTGCACAGCAGTGCATGCACAATTGCCTTCACCATCGTACAATGTTATGTGGTGAAAAGTGCCAAGCATTTAAAGCGGCTGTACTAGATTTCGTGGGTCATAGCACATTTCGCTCTGCATACATGCATAGTTAATTACGCATGCACACTATAATTATGACCACCAGGAAAGTTACTGGCAACTAGAAGCCAATAATTCAGAGCTGTGCACAATGTTTCTGCAACTCTGTGAAGCAAGAAGCCAAAGCATGTAATCCCTCTTTGTAATGAAGTCAGCAGGGCAGCGAAGAAATTCTATTCAAGGGGTCTTTAAACATAAACAACCACTCGAGAAAAGCTAGAGCAGTCAACCTTTAATTGTACTACAGTTGCAAGGAATTTAAAAGACAATGTTCTATCCAGTGAAGGAAAAGCACTATGGAAGGCCAAATGCACAGTGCACCCCTTAAAATGCTATGGCACAAGTCAACCTGTGATCATTTGGCCACTTTTCAGCATCTAAGAGATAGGAGCTTTCTAACATTGCAAATGACCAGGTTCACTTTATTTTCGTGTTATTTCTATCACGGAGGAAAAAAGCAATGCGATTACAGCCTAGATTAAAAGTTCTGGCAGGCTGGAATTTGACAGCTGCCACTTGCTCCAAAATCTGGCAGCACTGGGCACTCACTAGGTACCCATTAATAAGGCAGTCATCAGTCATAGTTCTGTGGCCTGTTCTGTTCATGCATGAGAAGGCATTAATATGACACATGTGCAGAGGGGCCACCGCCTCTTTGTTCTAAACAGGTCAGACTCTTCGTACACTTCAATTAATACTGTTTGATACGCATGCAGTCGTGTCAAGACCGAAATGCGCTAACGTCAGGACGCTAGCGCATTTCATTGGTGGTTGCATATGAATGCAGGACCGTCGTCATTGCCTGTAGTAGTAGTTGTGCTGCTAGGCACGTGGATGAGGTACCGATTCCCAGCATGAAGGAAGGAAACGGTTTGTGGGAAGCATTGTACAATGCGATATAAGAAACGAAAAGTGCACCCAAACATCATTATAACTAAGTTGCATCTTGCATGAAAATATGTTCATTAAATCTGAAAATTTGTTATAAACAAACATATATTCTTGACACTGTGTCTACTGCTAGACTTCATTTACTCTCTATAACTGATGTTTTTTTTTATATCCAGGCTCGTTAAATCAAGGTTACAGTGTAGTTTGGTCAGACACGTACAAGACAAGCATCACTTCCCCCCCCCATTTTCCCAATACAACAAGGGCTCCTAAATTTTTTTGTTGATCATCTCTCAAAGCTTGTTTTCTTTGGTACTGCACAGAGCTTTGCTGGTGAGGCACTTGTAAAAAACTTGTAAGGGTGTTCCGTCGGGCAGCAGGCATCAAGCATAAGACAGTGAAAACCACGAGCCGGTGAGAGGCAACACCAACAAGCCATCTCACCACATGTCGTGGCCGTAAACATCTCTTGTTTCATCGAGCATATCAGCCTGCACTTCTGGGTCATGCGCATGCGAAACCCTCTGGAAACACTTCAGCAGCTTATTAAAGGGAATGCACAGACAGTAATGCCTAGGAAAGTATAGGGGATGTTATTACGAGTATTTGTAATGTACACATAAAGAAAAAGAGAGGGGGGTGAAAAGATAACTTGCCGTACACAAGATCCAAACCTGCAACCTTCAAATAAAGCGTCTGATGCTCTACCACTGAGCTATGTTACGTATTCGGCGGCTGGACGACAGCCGGCCCAGGAAAGAGACGACTCAAGCAGTGCCAGGAAGACAATCCCAGTTTATTCACCTTGCGGCGCGTTTTTAAGCGCTACGCAGCCAATCGCAGGTTGGCACGAAAGAAAAGAAAACAGCAAGATAACAGCAATCGGGCAATGTTATCAGAAAGCCCCGACGTAGAAAGAGGGCGAGCACTGCAAACGTTACAACTCGGCCAAAGCTACCCCTAGCGGAAGGCGTTCAAGAGGATGACGCTTCATGAACGGCTGGAGGTGGTAACAGGTAGCCAACACGTGGGCAGGTCTCCAAGCACAGCACTGACACGTTTCGCACGGTCATATTGTCTTTGTGCACGGCGTGGGCGAAGACCCTGAGGTGCATGGTGGCACTGGTCGTTGAAGTAGCCACCGCAGAAGGAAATGGAAATGGCATTGCG